ATGAGCTTGCTCACTGTGCATGAGCACATGGGTTGTGTCGCATTGCAATTAGTTTTTATTTCACATGACTTTTTTAGGGTTTAAAATTATGGATTTAGCAAATTTATCTCTGATAAATAATAAGAGAAATAATAACAGAAATAATAAATATTAACAAAATAACTGTAAGCAAAAGAAAGCAGGTAAAAACATAACATGAGTGATAGTGAAAGGATGATCACTTGCCTGAGAATAATTAAAACGAAAGCAGTGACTGCAGCTGCTGCGAATGTGACGCGGGGGAATATGGGGGGAGAGTAGGGATTAACAATTTATCCACAAAGCAAATCCGACTACGCCACCTGAGAAGTTTTCTCCCAGGAAATAGAAATTGGCTTAAACATTACTCTTAGGCCACACAGGTTCAGTTCTCATATGGATAGGCAAGAGACGTGAGTATAGTATAAAAGTACAAAATGTATTTTCAGAATTTGTGGCAGATTAAAATAGTCACATAAAATTCCCTGAACATTCTGCCAGCACCTCCCTCCAACGTAACTGCAGTAAATAAAAAAAAATAAAGAAAACAAATTTATAGAAGAACAACAACAACAAGTTATTACAAAGTAAATATGAAAATTAAATTAACTGGAGAAATAAATTGAATAAACTAACTTACAGGGCTGAGGTCACACATAGGCGGGATCACCAGTGCTCCATTGTGTTCAAAAAGCACACTTCCACACACACACACACAGACACACACACAGACACACACACACAAACACACACACACAAACACACACACACACACACACACACACACACACACACACCACTAGATCCACACACACCACCACCACCTCAAGATCCTGCACCCGTGGGACCTCAGTTCCTGCAAGGAAAATCAAATCAAGTCAATATACGTGATAAATTATACAAGAGGAAAACAAACAACAAACCAAACACAAGAAAAGAAAACCAAATACAGCTTCTGTAGTTTCGCTATAGAAAAGCAAGATTCACACAGGACACAAAACTCACTCTGTTGCACACTGAATCACACAACTAAACAGAGCAAAAATCACAAATTATATAAGCAATGGTAGCAATAGGAGATAGTAGTAGCAGGTTGTAGTAACTACAGCAGTAAATAGAGCAGGTAACAGTTAGTAGTAGCAGTTAGCAGTAACTGTAGCAGTTAGCAGTAACTGCAACAGTAAATGTAGCAGCAAGCAGATAGTAGTAGCGGGTAGCAGTAGCTATAGCAGTAGCAGGTAGTAGAAACTGCAGCAGTAAATGTAGCAGCAGCAGATAGTAGTAGCAGGTAGCAGGAGTAAACAGCAGGAGTAGTTCTTTCCACTAGAGATCTCAGAATAACAGAATCTTTCAAACACGACCGGAGTAACGTTACAGATGCTAGATCTGCATTTATAATCGCCCAGGACACCAGCCAGGAAAAAATTACTATGGAAATCAATGGATACAACTTCCCAGCATTCTTTAAAAAATATCTTCTTTTGTGTTTAACAAAAGAAACAGAATTAAACATGCTTATTACAAGGGGCGAGTAAGTGACAGAGTTGTCAGTTTAGGGTGAGCTATCCTTTTAAGCTGTCATGGCAACCATTGCACATTATGAAATAAGCACCACAAAAATAGGAAATATGCAAGCGTATTCCTAGCTTACCTTGTCATTGCTGGGGCTGACAGGCATTTAGCTGAAAACTTTCTAAAAGCATGCGATATACATTCAGCTCCAGCAACAGTAAATAGACAAGTTCACTGCATACTTTTCTCACTCTGCCGCTGCAGTGACGTAGTTTCCGGGCATGTCTTTTTTCTTTTTCCTTTGCAATATTTTATATATTAATTTTTTACTCAGTAGCAGATATGATTTAAAATGTAGCGAAGTACAATACTTTAGGCAAATCATACTTAAGTAAAAGTAAAATTACAGATTTTAAAAATTACACTAAAAAGTACAAATTCTCAAAAAAAACTAATTAAGTACAGTAACGTGAGTAAATGTAATTCGTTACTTTCCACCTCTGTATATATATATGCATGATCCTACCTGCTTGAAGTCTTTTTGTTCTCCTGTTCACTCCTTTTAAAGGAGTTATCTGATTTTGTCAAATATATATATATATATATATATATATATATATATATATATATATATATATAAACACAACACAATACAAGACTGGCAAGATGTTATCAAAAGCCTTAAATTTTGGTTTATTAGCAAAGTGCCTAGAGAGTGGTGACAATGAAAGGTAAGTGGTGCTGGTGCTTCTGTCTTCTGGTGATCTGTGGTAGTGCTTCAGGGTGAATCAATGAGCAGTCTTGTTAGATCCTTCCATGTCAGTGAAAAAGCTGAAATAGAAGCATCAATTTGTAGAGAAGAAGTTTTCATGGCAAAATTTGGACAGCCTGGCAGCTAATCTTTAGTGATTGTACATTCCATTAGTAAGAGCTGTATTTGAAGGTTTTTCAGAGTAATAGCACAATTTTGATTAAAATATTACAATGCACACAGCATTATGCGTGACATGTCTCCATGTCACGGAGGTGCTTTGGGTAGCATGATCAGCTCACAGCAAGAAGGTCACTGGTTCGAGCTTTGGCAGTGTCAGTTGGCATTTCTGTGTGGAGTTTGCATGTTCTCAGACACAGATTAATAAAGGGACTAAGCCAAAAAGAAAATGTATGAATGAATAAATGTCTCCTGTGGGAACCGTCACTACTGTGGCGGTGACTTATAATGATGAAAGTATATTTGGGCTCCAGTGGGAGCTGTCTCTGCTGAGGCATTTATCTACAATGATGCCTGTTTATGTATTATGCAATGTATATGTTGGCTCCTGTGAGAGCAGTCACTTCTGTAACTGCGTTCACACTGAAGGTGGTGAGAGTGTCAAAATTCGCTACATTGATCTCACTTTTAAAGGGGCCATTTCAGCATATAAGCAAATCAATAACATTCCCACATAAAACGTGCTTTCTAGTGTGAAAATTATGCACATTTTTTTAAATTAATTTAACTATGGACCATAAAGTTGTTTCGTTTGTATAGCTTTGCTTCACCTACACAGCAAATTCATTGGTGTTAAATTTCAAGTGTTGAGGTAATTCAGAGTAAAGTGTAAAATTCTAGAGTTAGATCGGCGTTAGAAGCTGATTTGCCTCCTTGTCATTTAGAGTAACATGTATCTACCTTTGTAAAAAAAAAACCTGTTTTTAAGAAACAAATCAGAGTGTTTGAAATCTCGCCGCACCCTCATTCACCTGGCCCTTAAATTAGTCAATTAGTTTAGTCCACTAGACAGAGTGAATGACCACAAATACGTGAATTCACACTCTAAAAACTGCTGGGTTGAAAACAACCCAATTTGGGTTGTTTTGGTAACCCAGCGCTGGGTAAAAAAGGGACAAACCCAACGCTGGGTTACTTTAACCCAGCAAGTTGGGTTACAAGTTTAACCCAGCATGCTGGGTTGTGATTTTAACCCAACTATTAGTTAAAAATTACTACACTGCTGGGTTGAATGTAACCCAAAATGGGTCAGAAATTTAATCTAGAAACTGATGATTAAAATCACTAAAATAAAAACAATTCTACAGCAATACATAGTTGTTCAGTAATGGAATTTTATTTATGACAAAAGATAAAATGTGTCCAAATGAATTTGAGATTTTTCCCATCTGCACCTCAGCATTAACCCTTTGACTGCCTGCTCTACCAAATGGTTGACCTCGTTTTTACTGTTTTAAATAATGACTGTTAAAGTCATAAGAAAAAAGATGATTTAGTGTTCAAAATATTTCTTTTAAATATATATATATATATATATATATATATATATATATATATATATATATATATATATATATATATATATTTTTTTTTTTTTTTTTTTTTTTTTTAATTGGTCTTACACATAATTTTTCAGATTTTTCATAATTCTGGTACTTTTACCATAAACATACATATCAATCATTTGGTAGAGGTTGATATTTTAGAAATTATAACATGTGTTAAAATGTACTGATTGTGTTCAATAGCAACATTAGCAGTTGAGAAATGCAATCCAATTTTTTTTCTTGAAAGGGTTGTTAAAGGGTTAAGACGATTTCTGTGAAAATTTATCAAACTGTATCACAGAAACACTGACTAAAGTTCAGTAACAATGCATCAGACTGAAATCAGACAAATTACCTTAAGAAAATGCATATTTGAAATACATTCAAAAACATTTGCATCATGTATAAATCAGGAATCATCAGTAAGAGGCAATTGCAATGTTATTGCAGAGTAGAGAAAAACAATAGTATAAGGAAGTAATAATGAAAATGCATCTAAATGACTGAAGTCAGAAAGTAATTTGAGCACAAACATCAACATATTCTCATATAAATCATCAACTGCAATGCAGAAAATAATATGTGAAAGTAATAATGAAAAGGCATCAAACAGCTTGAAAAAACAAAACAAACAATAAAAACTAAGAAAATACAAATTTTATATTAAGAAAAAATAAGAAAACATTTTATAACTTTCCCTTTACCAATTATGTGCAAACATCAATATATGAGCTATAAAGCAATCATCAGTAAGGATGATCAAGTTCAATGTAAATGCAGTTTTGAAGAAAAAACAGATATAAAAGTTAAAATGAAACCTGAGGATGGAAGCATTTTAAAACAAATTTGAAATAGGAAAACTTTTTTTAACTTTTACTCGAACAATCATGTGCAAACATCAATCCTGAGATATAAAAGAGTCTGTAAGAAACATTAGTTGCAATGTAACTGCAGTGTAGAGTGTCTTAAAAAATATCTAGTCTGTTATTATGTGCCGTCATCATAGCAAAGAGAAAAGAAATCAGTTATTAGAAATGAGTTATTAAAACTATTCTTTAGAAATGGGTGTCATGGTGGCACAGTGGGTAGTACGATTGCCTCACAGCAACAAGGTCGGTGGTTTAAGCCTCAGCTGGGTCAGTTGGTGTTCTTGTGTGGAGTTTGCATGTTTTCCCCGTGTTCGTGTGGGTTTTCTCTGGGTGCTCCTTTTCCCCCACAATCCAAAGTACAAGTTAAAGAACACAGAATCCAAGAAAGCAGTGAGGTCACAGTATTAATGATTACTGTTTGTCAGCAAAAATTAATGCTAGCAGAACCCTTACTGCTAGTGTCTCCTCCCCAGGATGTCCATAAACCACAGTCTGCCACACCAGGGAACACTGCTTGGGGTAGTTCACACCAAAGATGTAGAATGCTTTATAGCAAACGTCCACTTTGGCAAGTAATGTACTTTGCAATAATAAATAGCACAGCACGTGAGCAAAGGCTTGAAAGAAGTGGTGGTCTCCAAGGACGAGAACATGAGGAAACTCAATAGATTCTTGAATTCAATGGATGAAGATACTCAGCAATATTGGTCCCAATCTGAAAAAATAAATAGAAGTAAGATTTATTAAAAACTCAAAAGTGTACAAGTTAAATATCTTTAGAGTTAACTTTAGAACACCTAAAATACCTTTAGAAGCAATTAAGGCCATAACACACCAAGCTATCAGCCAGTGTTGGCATTAGTTAACCACTGACCCTGGCACCATGCTGCAATTTTTTGGCCCGAGTGAAGATGACAATGCAACAACAGGTTTGCCTAAGGAACTTTTTTTAATAAGTAATAGTAAGGCAAGATGAGCATTTGAAATTATTAAGTATTTAATTGTGTTTTCTTAATGAGAATAGATAAGACCCTTCTTCCTGAGCTGGGACTGTTTGCAACCGTATTTGTATCATTTGAAGCCGCATTTAAATTTTCTTTAAAAACTTCAAAAATGAGGCACAATCTCAGTTCAAGATGGATAAAATTGCTGAAATATTTTCCTAAAAAAAAAATCTTTCTGACTGAAGAAAGAATGACATGAACATCTTGGGTGACAAGGGGGTGAGTACATTATGTGTGAATCTTTTGTTGGAAGTGGACTTCTCCTTAAATGAAAATAATTGGCTTACAGGCCATTTAGAGTTTGTTGCATTCACTATCTATATAAAGCATCTTATCACTAAAAATTTGAGAAACCATAGCTGTGACCAAATCACAACTTTCACAAAACCGTCATCTTTTTATGTTTTACGCAGCAGATGCCCTTTCAACTGCAACCCATCACACTCTCATTTACACACACACTATGGACAATTCAGCTTACCCAATTCAGCTACACCGCATGTCATTGGACTGTGGAGGGGAAACCCATCCAAGGCTCAAACAAGCGACCATCTTGCTGTGAGGCGACAGCACTACCCACTGCGCCCCCATGCCACCCTAATAACAAACATAAAAATAACATTTTCATTGTTAATAAAATAACTAAGACAATCATTATGCATTAAATGCATCATTATGCATCGAGAAACCTTTAATTGAATTGTTACCCTCTGAATTGTATTCAAATTGACCTAAAAACGAGGAAAGGTTCGCTCCTGTGCTAAAAATAAAACAAGAGAATGTCACTGGTTGCATGAACAGCAGATTTTAAAAAATAACCAGACAAAAACAAATTGGCATTAGAGTTCAATCTCTCAGTTTAAAGTGTTGAAGTGGCTAATTATTACTAGGGCTGCCCCCTAATAATTGAATAACCATTAGTCAACTAAAAATTTATTATTCATTCATTCATTTTCTTTATAGCTTTGTCGCTTTATTATTCTGGGGTAACCACAATGGAATGAACCACCAACATATCCAGCATAAGTTTTATGCAGCGAATGCCCTTTCAGCTGCAACCCATCACTGGGAAACAAATACTCATTCACACACATACACCATTGACAATTTAGTCTACTTAATTCACCTTTACCACGTCTTTGGAAACCGGGGCACCTGGAGGAAACCCACGCGAACACGGGGAGAACATGCAAACTCCACACAGAAAGGCCTATTGACCCAGCCAAGGATCGATCAAGTGACCTTGTTGCTATGAGGCGAATGTGCTACCCACTAGTTGCAGAAAAAAAGTCCACACTGGCAAAGTCAATGTATGCTGCATGAATCCGCTGTGTAAAAAATATGCTGGATAAGTTGGCGGTTCATTCCGCTGTGGCGACCCCAGATTAATAAAGGGACTGAGTCAAAAAGAAAATGAATTAATGAATAAATGGTTTATTAATAAATCTGTAATTATTCAACTAATGCTTCAAATGAACATCACAAGTCAACCAGACAAATGTTTAGACAAGGGCAGCCCTAATGATTACAATGAAGCAAGTAAAATATTATTACATACCTTCAAATGTGGGGATTAACTCCTCAAGATTGCATTCTTTTAGTTTGATTTTCACGCAATTATCCATCTGAAAAAGAATAACAGATAAAAGCGTTTAAGCAAAATTAAGTAAAAAAAGATCATGTTAGCCAAAAGTCACTATATCACAAAAATACTCCTAAATGATAATAATTATCCAGGGTGTCACATAAAACGGTGGTCAAACTTTTTCTTTTTGCAGTCGAAGATGATTAGGTTGGAATTAGCCTTAGCTCAGACATTTCCGTTAGCATGAAACGACCCTTACATACAGGATTAATTAAAGATAGCTCAAATCACGTCTAGAATGTAAAATGCTCATAGTAAATTAATAACATTTGCTATTCAATGTACAGATGTACAGCTAAACAAAATGTACATGCAGAGCAGGACAAGTATTGTATATATTTTGATTAAAAAAAACATTGTTAGAAGCTGAATTCAACACTTATAAATCAAAGTATTGTCACAAAAATCCATGAACAAACTTAAGAAATACAAGAGTAAAAATACTACTTACTGCTTTACAGTTAACACCTCAGAAAGATCACAAATCACAGTAACGTTACTTACTGTCATCACCTAGCCAACATAAAAATCTGTGTCATTCAAAAGGCATTTTATTACAATAAAAAGCTCCTAAATTATCCTAGGTGTTGTGTTTATAAAGTGGTCATCAAACATGCTTCACGTTAGTTTCATTAGTTACCTTATACTTTTCGAGCTCCTTCCGATGCCATGCGCGCTTTCCCGTCCACCGATCAACAGGCTGGGCGTGAGGCGGAGCAGCAGCTCGGGCGTTAAGCAGGTCGCACACCAGAAGCGCCGCTCGGCGCCGCGACACGGCGCGTACATGACAGTTAAAAGTATCACACACCAGACGCGCACATTCGAATGATATTTAACATGATATTTAACATGAAACTAATCAGATGGCGCTCTGTGGCGCGGCTTAAAAATGAACTGCGTCCTGAGCCGTCGACGGGCGCCGCCGACAGCCGCCGACTTGCGGCGCCGGTGTGTGTATCCTGATAGAAACCTATGTTTAGAATTCTAAAATACATGGCGCTGCGTGGCGCTGCGCGGCGCGCCGCCGAGCGGCGCTTCTGGTGTGCGACCTGCTTTAGGCGGAGAAACAGGTCCGGAGAAACAGGTCGCCGTTAGGCGGAGAAACAGATCCGGAGAAACAGGTCGCTCGTCAGGCGGACTCGGAGCAACAGTTCGGCCATAAGGCGAGCACAGGTCAGCGTGAGGCGGAGCAACAAGTCGGCCATCAGGAGGAGAAACAGAAAAAAAAAGCGCGTGTATATTATACTAAGTAAACTAAGTGTGTTATTTCTTATGAAAATTGTTAAATACACACTAAATAACTTACGTCTCAAACAGAATTTCACTCGCTTCCCCTCAAAGACAGCGCAAAGAAAATGGCGGTTTCTCACGTTGATGTCCCTGCATGTTGACGTGACGTGCGTGCTCTCTTTCACGTCCGCGTTCCCAACCCAGCACTGCTGGGTTATAGATAAAGATCGATTTTCAACCCAAATTGGGTTGAATCAACCCAATTTTGTTACCCAGCAGTCTCAACCCAGCATTTGGGTTAAAAAACCAACCCAGCGTTTTTTAGAGTGCAGACACCTGCTGTTGAATACCTGCTGTTAACAAGCACAATCACTGAAGGAATAAGAAATTGAAGAAAGAAATAAAACTACAGACATAGTGTCACACTAAACCAACTGAATTAAAACAGAGGATTAAATAACTCAATTAAATAACAGCATTAGCAGCTTCACTGATTACAGTTTGACTGCATTTCTGTAAGAATATTTGACAATCAAAAGAGGTTTATTAATTTTTTTAGTTAAAATATTTCATTTGACCTCACCATCATGGAGATCAGAGACTGCTTAATTAAACTCCTGAAGCTTTACTCTTCTATTGTAATGTTTCTCTGACTGTTATAGCTGTGTTTCTAAAACGCATCAGTTATAGCAAGAAATGTCATGAGAAACTATGCTGTTCTTGCTTAATTATTATAGATAATATTTCATGTGTTTCATAAGTTAATTTATAAAAAAAATGCAAACATACTTGTATTAAAGCTGCATGGGACAATACTGCCAGCTGTCTGCTGCTCTTCATAGAGGTTCAACAAACAATTAGGATGTAAATAATAATTAGAGTGTCATGCACTAAACCTTCGAGCTCGAGCAGCTCATTATGACACAGACATCAAGAATCAGGATATGAACCTCAACCATGGTTGCTAAAAAGAAAAAAGCTGCATAGTTCATGCCGCAAAGCATGCTGGGTGCCAGCATAGCACAAAGCTCCCAGCATGCATTGCAGCATGAATAAATTGTGCAACTATATGTTCTTACAATCTTTTTCTTTTTCTTTATTTTGTGTTGTTTTGGGGGGGGGGGGGTAATATTTCAGTAGATTGTTTTGTTTATTTTTGTTGTTTGTCACCATTATTGAGATTCAAAGACTAATTATTGATGTCTGTGTGTTTTTAAGTTTCGTCATAAATTAAACATTCGCATTGTGAATGGTATTTTTAAACCTGTTAAACAGTCATTGTTTGTTGAAGCTTTAGTGGTTTCATTAATATAAATTATTCATTTCTCACATAAATAATATGATATTGGATTAAAACACAAACAGGAGAGGACAACTTGAGACTAACTCTTAAACTTTATTTTAATTTTCATGCTGCTTGTGTAACTAGTGTGATTAACATTATTAGTTATAGCAGCCAAATAATATACTTTAAACCAAGCAGTTAAAGACCCCAACTAAAGCAGACTCTGTCCTCCATCAAGGTGACTTCAAATGAACAACAGAAACTTCATTAAGAGCTTTTGTTCACATGACAGAAATAAAGTCAAAGATCATTAATAAGTAAAGCTCCATGATGAATTGTTTAATGCAATGAGTTGTTTTAAAGATGTTGATTTTTTTTTGTCTAATTTGTTTAATTTTTAATTATTATTATTTTATTTAGAGTTTTATTCTCAGTTGATTTCATCTTTGGTTTTGGCTGTAATTTGTGTTTTTCTTTCCTTCACTGATTCTGCTGTTAACAGTTTTTCATCAATAATTATCAATCCTCCTTTAATTAGACACTTAATTGTCTCAATAACTTCATCACTGTCTGAGTGTTCAACCCTCTGTAGTGAGAACACTAGTGAGGATTTTGCTCTGAGATTTAAGGGGTTAAATGTGTTCGATAAAAAATACAGACTATGGAATGTATTTTTAAAATAAATATTCTGAAATATATCTGTTGAAAACACCAGATTACTGGCAACCACTGCTGCCAGTATTTTAACATAAATTTTACAGATATTTTAAACTACACTGCAAATGTTAGATAGTTGATTTAACTACCCTAGAGTTAAAAATAACACTCCCTCAGAGTTTATATGGGAACCACTATAAGTGTTAAAAATAACAATTTTGAAAGTGTTAACATTATCAACACCAAGAGAGTGTTAACTAGCAAACTCTTATAGTGTAAAATATCTGTTAAATTTACAAAAAAATATCAGCAGCTGTGGTTGCCAGAATTTTTCTGTGAAAAATATGGAAGTTTTATAAAACTGTTTAAATTAACGAAAAATAATCATATTTCATGAACTGATACAATGTTTAGTTAACAAAATCATAGCTAAGTGCACAAAAATGTTCACGTGTGATTGTAACTAGCAAACAGATTTTGACTGCATTAGTAACTACACAGTTACCTTTAAACAAAAGAAGATGCAGCATAACATCAATCGCTCTCAGTTTATCTTAAACTTAAACACAGACGCTACTATCCTCCTCAATGGTGACACAAAAACCGTTTTGCTGTTTTTTTTTCCTTTTTTGATTTTATGGAAAAATACCGGCAACTGTGGTTGCCAGTTATCTGGTGTTTTTAACATTCATAAATTCAGTTTACAGAATATTTTTGTTAAAAACACATTCTACAGTCTGTATCTTTTTTTATCAAACTCACACTGCAAATTTTAGATTTGGTAGATTTAACTACCTTGGAGTTAAAATTAACACTCCCTCAGTGTCTATATGGGAACCACTATAAAAGTGTTAAAATAACACTTTTGAAAGTGTTAAAATTTTAAACACTCAGAGAGTGTTAATTAGCAAATTCTTATACACAGCAAATTCATTGGTGTTAAATTTCAAGTGTTGAGGTAATTCAGAGTAAAGTGTTAAAATTCTAGAGTTAGATCGGCGTTAGAAGCTGATTTGCCTCCTTGTCATTTAGTGTAATGACAATAGTCGTTAATAGTCGACAATAGTGATTCGACAATGATCAACGTTGATGAAATGTATTTGTGAGCTCATGTTGGAGCCATCAATGCTGTGGCAGTAATTTACAATGAATTAAGTGTATTTGAGCTCATGTGGGAGCGTTCACTCCACTGGCATTGGTCTACAATGTAGTGGGAGCAATCACTACTGTAGAAGTGATCTAAAATTATTCAAATGTATGTTTGGGCTTCCGTGGGAGCCTTCACTACTATGACAGTGATTCATAATGCTACAATTTATGTGTAGGTTCCAATGGGAGCTGTCACTGTTGAGGCAATAATCTACAATGATGCATGTTTATGTGGGCTCCAGCGAGAGCTGTCACTTCTGTGGCAGTGATCTATAGTGATGCATTGTGTATGTGGACTCCTGTTGGAGCCCATACTGTTGCTGATGTGACAGTGATCTACTGTGATATAATTTAGATGTGAGCTCTTGCTGGAGCTGACACTACTGTGGCAGTGATGCAATGTATATGCTCAAGTGGGTGTGGTCAACATTTGGCAGTGATGTTATGTGTATATATGCTTGCTCAAATAAGAAACCATAGCTGTGGCAGTGGTCTTTGGTGATGCCATGTATATGTAGCCTCCTGTAAAAGCTGTCACTGAGATGACAGCGGGGTCTACAGTGATGTGATGTATCTCTACAGTAATGCAATGTAGATGTGGGCTCCGGTGGGAGCTGTCACTGCT